TCCTTGATATTTCTGTAATCTTTAATTAAAAGAAAAAATTGTTCAGGTAACTCTCTGTCCCTTCAGAAAACTCCTGCTCCTCTCCAGTATGAGTAATACTATTTTGCCTTTAAAATATATCTTTCAGTTCTTTCCTTAAAATCATTCTAATTCCACAGTTGGGCTCTTTGAATCACACAAAATTACTGGAACAAAGCATCCTCCCTTGAAAACTGAATTACAGTGGAATGTCATCAAAAACACTAGGGAAAATGTGTACCTTTCCCCAAAGGAAACCATAGACCTGGTTACTTGGATATGGAGAAGGCTGAGGCACTCAACTTTTTTTTTTCCCCTCAGTTTTCACTGCAAAGAGCTCCACTCACACCAGCTGCAGAAGGTCAGGCAGGGGGGCTGGAAGAATGACAACTTTCCACTCTAGGAGGTGTTCAGGTTCAAGAACATCTAAGTAGCCTGAAGGTGCACAGGCTGATGGGACCTGATAAGATACATTGGTGGGTCCTGATGGAATTGGAAGACAAAGTTCATAAGCCACTATCCTCCATATCTGAGAAATTGTGGCAATTTGGTGACTTGTTCATTGACTGGAAAAGGGGAAGCACCCATCAAGATGAACTTTTCCTCATCTGAGAAGCAGATTCTTTTCTAGAAGATTCATGGCTTTCACACTGCTACCCTAAAACCATCTGAAGGGGATTATTCATCGGAAAAATACAATCTTTGAAGAAAACAGCAAATATGAGCCAACCATGAACCTCTCTCTGCAGTAATTTCTGTGAGGAATGATTCTGCAGTTCATGCTATCATTTTTGTTGTTGTTTTGATTGGTTTGGGGTTTGTTTTGTTTTGGAGATTCCATTTGAAATATCATATATGGTGACAAATTATCTATGATTTATCCCTGTAGCTCTCAAAGATGAAGTAGGAGGATTTTGAACAGAGTGAGGAAAGTACAGGATACAGATATGAAGGGGCTGCTCCTTCAAGGACCATTAATCATAAGCTGAGTACACAAGAGAACATGGTTCCCAGTCAAGGATGTACATGTATCACAAGGAAAGCTGCTGACACTTACTGGAAAAGCTCCTGGACAGGTGAGGAGGAAATGGTGCAGGCAATTTTCTAATGAGGCATAATAAATACATATTTTGCAATATATCCCTAAATGGACAATTTAGGTTAAAGCCAAACCTGTCTGCTAACAAACAAACCTTTGTAGCATAAGGGTCCAGGGAATTGGCCAGGCTAAGCAGTAATACAACAAGCTTCTCAACTTTGCCAGGATCACAAAAGAGTGAAAGTGTCATGAAACATGATCTGTAGTGTTTCTCCATGGGGTGAAAAAAAAATAGCTCCTGGAACTGACGATGATTTATGGTGTGGGAATTTTAAAATTTTGTTTTTCTATGGGATTTGGGGTTTTTAGGAATTAGAATATTGCCATTTTCCCTTGTTATCTTATATAGTCATATCTGATAATCTGGTGACAGACTAAGGAGATTTTTCTAGCAAGAAGACTCCTCACATCTTTCTCTCTCCTCTTGTCCTTCTATTCCTCTTCCTAAATCAGTTTAAAACTACTGAGTGCCATGGTAATTTCTTTTTGGTATTCATGTCGAGCCCTAGCCTACTTCAGATGAGTTCAAAGGATTTCTCAAAACACAAATATCACACAACTGCATTGCTGAACCATGGCTATGTAACATAAAGGAAACAAACCATAAAAGCAGTGGAGTTCCTGTGTATGACTTTAACACAGCTGCTGTGCTCTCACCAGATGCTGTCTATTCAGCATACTAAAGACTGATGGTGGTCTGAGTTGGAACTGTAATTAGGAGCCTTAATCTGAACCAAGCAATGACCAGAAGTGCTAAACTAAGCAGTCTGTAGAAGAGAGCTCTTGTGTATCCAAGGGTGCAGTAGAGGTAGAGGCTTTCTCATAGTAATTTACTTACGTACCTCTGTCTCTGCTCATAAGAGTTTAAATTTATAAATTTAATCACTGAGAAGTTATTTATATGAAAAGTAAAGAAAACACAGGTCTATAAAAAACATTCTTTCAGAGAGAATAATAATATTTATTAAGGGGAAGGCCAACAAGGCTGACATCCTGCTGGGAGTCTGTTATCGTCCACCCAAACAGGAAGAAGAGATGGACAACTCATTCTATAAGCAGCTGGAGAATGTCTCAGGATCACCAGCCCTTGTTCTTGTAGGTGACTTCAACCTGCCAGACATTTGCTGGAAACTTAATACAGCAGAAAAGAGACAGCCCAGGAAATTGTTTAGAGTGTATGTTGGACAACTTTTGTCGCAGCTGATGGGCGAGCCCACCAGGGAAGGGACTATGTTAGACCTGTTTTTTGCAAATAAAGAAGGGCTGGTGGGAGATGTGGTGGTGACTGGAGACTGCTTGGGGCACAGTGATCATGAAATTATAGAGTTCTCAATATTTGGTGAAATCAGGAGGAGCACCAATAAGACTTTTACATTGGACTTCTGGAGGGCAGCCTTTGGTCTATTTAGGGGACTTATTCAGAGTGTTCCTTGGGAAGCAGCCCCTTAAAAGCAAAGAAGTCCAGGAAAGGTGGATGTGCTTCAAAACAGAGATCTTGAGGGCACAGGAACAGACTATCCCTGTGTGCTGAAAGACGATTCAATGAGGCAAACATCCAGCCTGGAAGAGCAAGGAGGTTTTAGAGGAATTTAGGAATAAAAAGAGGATGTATCAGCTTTGGAAGGAGGGTCAGGTCTCTCAGGAAGTATTTAAGGGGGTTGCTAGGGCATGTAGGAAAAAAATTACAGAGGCCAGAGCTCAGTTTGAACTTAAAACAGTGACTTCTGTAAAGGATAATAAAAAATATTTTTACAAATACATTAAAAGTAAAGGAAGGGTAAGACCAACCTTTGTTCAGTCTTATGCTGGAGGGAACTTAGTAACTGCAGATGAGGAGAAGGCAGAAGTGCTCAATGCCTTCTTTGCCTCAGTTTTTAGTGGGAAAGCAAGCCTTCAGGACAGCTGTCCTCCTGGGTTGGTAGATGGTGTCAGGGAGCAGAATGGTCCCCCCATTATCCGAAAGGAGGCAGTCAGAGACCTGCTGAGCTGCTTGGATGTTCATAAATCTATGGGAACAGATGGGATACCTCCCAGGGTGATGAGGACTGG